ACAAGGACCTGGGTTCAATCCCAGGTGGGCATGCACAATTTTGTTAAAAAACTTAGAAAAAAAAAAAAAAAAAAAAAAAAACTTCCTTTTCCGGGAACCCCGGGATTTGAACCGGGGTCCCCTGGCCTGGCAGCCAGCTAGCTAACCACCAGGCCAATTGCCTCTTGATAGATATTATTTCGGAACTTATATTTAAAGGTTAGGATTGCGCAATTTCAAAAAAGGTCAGAGGGCACAGCACATTTGCATGTATTTAAATAACAAAAACAAATTTCAATGTGTTAAGAAAGGGAGAATACACTAAATATTCAGACCTTGCATGTATTTCACTATATTTTAGGTCAAACATATTTGCAAACCTTTTTATATTTATACTTCCAAATGCTCAGTTTTATATCGTACATGTCACTAAAAATTCAACTGTGTTGGTTGAAACTTGAACACATAACTTGGAGAAAGATTCTGCTAGGATTGAAACGTCACGTCCTCTGAATTTTTCAATTTAGAAAATATTTTACTGTTTTCAGTATCTTGCTATAGACATTAACATTTGTCAGCTTTTCTGGATGAGTGGGGGCGCTACTGCTGTGCTGTAAATTAGGGAATTCAGGCAGGGTTCAGTTCTTTTTTCCCTCTTTCCATTACACCATTGTGGGATGTAGCAGGCTTCATGGAATGGTAATAGCGCCCTCTATGGTTGGTCAGCATTTTGTAGCGGAGCCTCTGATGCAGCCAACACAAGGGAGTTCCTCCTGCCAGGATTGCTAGGAGAAACCAATCAATGTCATCAAGTTCTGTCAATTTTAATCCAGTGTTAACTCTGAAGTTGCCGGGTTATTTCGTACCATCTCACAGCCGAGATCAGGGCCGTCCCAAGCTCGATTTTTTTCAACACTCGGCGTGCATGTAAAACTCTCTTTATCAATACAGATGTGGAGTTTCAAATCAATCTGATGTATACAACTTATATATGTAGTTGATACGCTCATTTGAAGTTGAAGGTTACAATTGTACCAGCCACTGTGTGCACTCACTGCAGCAGTTGAAAGCAAAGATCGTATAGCGCCGCAAAGCGATCTTTGGTTGAAAGCACAGGTGCGTTTTTTGGTTGACCTATTTCGGGAAAGTGGGTGCTGCATGAGAACAGTATGTGTGATTTTCACAGAACTGCTATCAAAGTGACTGTAAAAAGCTGCTATATGAAACTAAAGGCTTGGCTGGAAAAAAATGGAAACGTATGGCTGACCTCTTTCATGTGGCCAAGTGGTTTGGGTCTACGGTTTCCAATCATAGGTTTGGTGGTTCGAATCCAGCTGCAGGCAGTATGTTATGGCCCTTGGCAAGCCACTTCACCCCTGCTTGCCTCTCTCCACCCAGGAGTATAAATGGGTACCAGCACTAGCTGGGGAAGCAACCTGTGATGGACTGGCATCTCATCCAGGGGAAACGGAAATATTCTCAGTCATTTCATGCCAAGGAAACTGCAATAAACACCGGCCTGATGAGCCAAATTGGCCCAAACCAGACTTGCTTTTTGGCTTTTTCTTTCAGGAAAAAGGGGTGCTTGTAACGAGAACAATACATGTGTGTGTGTGATTTTCACAGAGTTGGTGTCAAAAAAGACCACAAAAGAGTTACTTTAAACCTCCTGAAGGCTTGACTGCTGTACTGTGGCAATATCAGAAAAAATCTTGAGGGGGCAGATTCTATCTACTCCCCGGTACTTTTAGAGTCGAATGAAGACATACAATTAACTGCACAATGGTGATTGTTTAGTTAAAGTGATTTGGTTCAGGTAATATCTTACAACCCCTATTGGCTTGATTGTCTATATTTGAAATCTTCAATATAAATCGATCAATCAATGACGTTTATTTCCATACTGGTGAAGATCAGGAAAAGTAAACAATAAAAGTACAAATACATAAATCAAGAGATTATTATAGAGTAACAAAAACATAAGTAAAGGGAAAACCAATATGGAGGTTTTTTCAGAAGCCAGGAGGCTTGTACTGAAAAGCCCTTGACTAAACAAACTTTACAGAGAGACAGCAAAAAGCAAGATAACAAAAAACAACAACAGCAATAAATTAACTTAAGGGGGAATACCTTATGACGGAAATAAAAATTAGTGGAAAATGACGATACTAAATTTGGTACTTTATACTAACGATGATGATAAGGAATTATGCGGAAAGACGACATGAAAATTACAAAAAACAGAAAAAAAAACCCACAACAGTGTGATAAAAAGGCAGGAATACATCAGGAAACTAAGCTGTGTAGATGTATTGGGAAACCAAAAATAATTTGAATGAGGCCTTCAATCGACCCAAAGACAACTGTGTTTCAAAGCCTTATCAAGACCGTTCCACAAGTGTGGCCCCTGAAATCTAAGAGTGTATGCTGTGCGGGTGAAAGGAACATAAAGATTGCTGAGATACCAAGTGCTGTGCTCTTGAGTATCGTGAACTGCAGAAAAGTAGGATAAAAAGATAGAAGAAGTTTGTTGATGAACTTATACGTGAAAATGCTGGTGTGAAATGTGTTAATGTCAGTTAGAGTTAATGTGTGGAGTCTAAAAAAGAGAGGTGCAGTGTGGTCACGAGGGTGTGAAAGTGTACAAGTTCTAAAGGCTCGTTTCTGGTGATTGTAAGAGGAGGATGCCCAGACAATATTGCAATACATGTAGTTCAGATAGGGAAGCATTAGGGTAAAGAGAAAACAGGTTAAATGGCGGTAGAAAAGCACACAGTTTAGTTAGATCACCTATAGTTTTAGAGATAGTCTTGGAAACAGACGAAATGTGGTCAATTCCAGGTAAGTTTGTCGTTTATGATGATGCCAAGGAGTTTCATAGATCGGACCTGGGTAATGGGCGTGTTGTCAATATTAATAGGAAAAGTCAGAAGATTGGGATTATTAGATTTACTGAAAAGAACGCATTTAGTTTTTCCAGGATTGAGGGACAGTTTGTTGGACTTGAACCAGGAGGAGACTTGAATGAGCTCAGAGTTGAGAGTTTGAGTGACAGACTGGAAAGAAGAAACTGAGTAAATGATAGTAGTATCATCGGCAAATAGGAGAAAAGATAACCAAGAGGAAGAATTGTGTAGGTCATTAATGTAGACTAAGAAGAGAAGAGGACCAAGTATGGAGCCTTGAGGAACACCATGAGTGACAACTCCTTAGGCTGAAAGTTATTTATGAGAGTATATTGTTGCCTGTCAGCCATGTAATTAGACAACCATTTAAGGGTGCATCCTCTGACATCATAAAAGGAAAGTTTAGAAGTGAAGATGTCACGATCAATAGTATTGAATGCCTTTTATAAGTCCATAAAAACACCAGAAGTACACAGTTTGTTGGACAGAGAAGTAGAAATGAGATCGGTAAGGTGGATGAGAGCCATGTCTGTGCAAAAGCTGGGGCGGAAACCAAATTGTTGATTCGATAGACTATTAAAGTTTGAAAAGAATTTAAAGTGTATATTGAACACGATCCTCTCAAGAAAGTTAGAGAAAAAAGGCAGAACAGAAATTGGACAATACTTGCAGATATCACGAGGGTCGTCACTTTTAAAGACAGGAGTGACTTTAGCAACCTTCAGATTCGAGGGAACGATACCGGAAGAAAGAGATAATTGAAAATGTGAGCAAGAGGAGCGGAAATAAGAGAAATGACGGATTTAACAACCGATGAGCGAATGGGTGGAAAGGCTTGCGGTAGCACCATGCGAAGGAAGATATCTCTCGCATGGTGTTTCTGACTGCGTGCTCAGACCAGGCAGGAGCCTGAAGAGATGCTGAAGATGGGGCTGCACATACAAGGTGGCTGGATGCAGCGGGGTGTGATGAGGATGCTGGTGGTGGGCGCTCATGCGGGACAGGGTCCTGCAGGGCAGTGAGGCGTGTCAGTTGGGCATAGGTAGGTGCTGGGTGAGGGCCGAGGGTATAGGAGACCCATAGGCAGGGTGGGGGTGTCCTAGGGTATAGAGGACCCATTGGACTGGGGGTTGAGCAGGGGTTGCCAGATGTCACTGATTGAGAAACCGATGTCTTGGGGAACGGTATTGTCCAAGGTTTCTCTGATGCATCTTGGGTACCAGTTCTCAACGCTAGTGATTAGGTGGGCTAGATCCCAGTGGATGCGGAAGTCTTTTGAGTGGGAATGCTTGACTATTGCCGACTTCTCATAGTTTCCCTTCCTGCCATGGGCTTGGTGTTCTTTGAGTCTGGTGGGGAGGTCTCTACCAGTCTCGCCAATACACACTTTGCCGCACTGGCAAGGGATCTTATACACCCCTGGTGGGTGGTGTGGATCTTGTCGGTCCTTGTGGGATGTCGGCATGCTGCGGATCGTGAGAGGAGCTGTGTGGAACCCCTTGATGCCCTCAAATAGCACAGCTTCCTCTCTTTCGAAATGGCATTCAGACACAAATCAAAATGGCGTAAGAAATTGTCAGGTTGAATACCAGGAGCCCTGTAGACATTTCCTATGATTAAATTACAGGCATGTTCACGTTCAATTTCAATGAACACACATTCAACATCTTCTGAAGTTTGCATCAGATCATCACGGACATGGAAATTCAGAGTTTTATGCATGAACATGGCTGCTCCCCCTCCGAGTTTTTGAGAACGGGAAGAATGAATCAAGTTGTAATTAATCATGCGAACATACGGAGGAGGAGCTTCTCTGAACCACATTTCTGTGAACCCACAGAGGGTGAAGTCACAAGAGAGTGTAGAAAGAAAGTCCTGTAAAAATGATACCGTAGAAATGTCTGCAGAGGCTCCTGGAATTCAGGTAAAAGATTGAAAAAGAGCCGTCTTGTTGAGTGTTTAAGCTTTAGAACTCGTCGCTGTGTAAATTTAAGCATAAGTTGTTGTCAACATTATCAAGCAAATCATGGGAAGTTATGTAACATAAGACCTTATGAAAGAATACAAACCAAAGACAAAAACTATGTAAAGGGACAAATAACAATTAAGTATTATTATTATTTTTGCGTATTAATTATATTTACAGTAAGAAAAAGAGGGATGAAGTGTCTTTGTAAAAGACCTACAATCACACAAACAAGATAACAAAGATGAAAGCTGGAGCTAGAGTAAAACAACATAATAACTAAAACGAAAGTAATCAGCAAGGTAAGCGAACAAAATAAACAAGAGTGATCACCGAAGCAGGTAAAAGCTGAAAGGTGACGCATGAAACAAATGGAGATAAATAAAGTAATTGCAAATGTCAATGTTTAGACGTTGAGCAGCTGAAGCAAAGGGAACGTAGGTGAAGATGCTGATGATTAGTGGGCTTGGTTGTAAAAGTGAGCTAGAAAGCCACCCTTACCTCTCTACTTACCAGCCACAGAATGGTACTTGATGCCTTCTTGATAGGCTTAAGCAGCATGTGCAGACCACGGTCTCTTTTCATTGAGATTGATCTTGGTCAGGTCATCTGTGCAGTAGAATGGCTTGCTGGACAAGACTTGGTGTTGCCGCTGTAGGATCGAGATTTTATCCTGGTAGCAATTTAACTTCATCAGTAGGTGTTGCGATTTCCCATCAGATTTGGGGTCATTGAGATGAGCTCTTTCCAGCTTAACTTCGGCCATGTCGAACTTGTCACTCAATAGCTTCTTTGCTGGGCTAAGCAGTCCTCTCCGGGTTTTTGTGGCTGGCCAATAATTCTCAAATTATTCCTGCAGGAGAAGTGTTCCAGCTTGTTGAGTTGCTGTGCCTGATCCGCGATGATTTTCTCTGCCTTTGCCATCTTCGATACAAGCAGATCATGGTCAACCATCTTGGATTCTAGATCACCGATAAGCTTACTCTAGAACTCTATTGTTTCGTTGATGTTGGCTTCCAAGTTGTCTTCACGATCACGCAATTCCACATGCCCAGCACGAATTTCAGCTTTCAAATGTCTCTCGCTCGGTGTCGGAAATTGACGCAACTTCGCCGTGTAGTGTAGCCTGTGGCGATAGTACAGGAGGAGGCTCAGTTTCACTCACAGATTCACTTGTTTTCTTCGGCATGGTTTGGGTGATACTCCCTCAAATTGATCACAGACAAGGAGCAATGTAGCCCTGATGTTTTGATTTGGAAAATAGCAGGTGGAATGCATGATTATGGCGTGTAGGTTGCCAAGTTGTCAGACCCTCTTAGTTGTTCATCTTGTCAAACAGTCGCCATTGTAATTGTTGTTACTTTGTGCACATGTCTGTGATATCAATGTATGGACTCAACATCATCTTCAATATTTGAAAAGACAACTTACAGTCACTGCAGAAGACAGACTTCTCCTGGATGGACAGCACACGTTTCTTCCACTCTCACTACCATTTCTGCTTCTATCCACTTGCCAACAAGTGCCCTAACAACAAAGAAAAACTTAAATTGAATGGAGAAATAGAAAGGCCTCATTTCTGTCAATTAATATGAATGATTCCAAAGCCATTCTCATAAATAAAACAAGCACAACATATAACCATAACTGTTCAGGGTTGTTTGGCTAGAAAGCCCGCCAGACACATAAGTCTGCATAATTTACCAAAGTAATTTGCTTGCCCAGTGTAGCAAGATCCTACAGATCGGCTCTCCCCAAGGCCAAACAGCCTGGGAGTCTGTGGTTGCCAGCCACCACAAGATCCAACAGTGGCATTGTTTAATGAGACCAGCTCCCATTGTCTCTCCATGACCAGTTTGTTTGGCTGCTGTTGATTGCCCAGTACATCAAAAGGTGCATTAATTCCCACTGGACTTTTTTGGTTAACTTACCGTGATTTCCCTGTAGAATTACAAAATTCAATCCAATGGGAACACGCAGTAAACTAACGTCCCTGTCAACTTATTGCGATTGCGATGTAAAAATAACAGGCCGGAAAGGTCGCGGAGGATTTTCGCGCAGCCATATTAAGTTAACAGGGGGGCAAAAAGTCCAATGGGAACAGTTCCCATACAATGTAGATTGACCGCGACCACACTAAACATACGAACCAGACCACTGCCTGCACAGAGAAAATGGTTGTATGATTCCCAGCCCCCAGCTCCATGCGTACAGTACAGCAGCATGCCGCGCACACACAATGAGGCGTGCCCGGATAAAGCTATACACACATTGTGTACAGGGCTTTTCCTGTACGAGGGTGTAATCCCTGCGGCAGATTTGGCCAAATTCGTCTGATTTTATCTTTGTCTTTGTCAGATTTTGCCGATTTCATCATGATTCGTACAGCGCAGGCAATGTAATCAGCTGGCCTTATTAGGCCTAACACAGTGAATAAGCACTAAATTATGGTTTAAAAAGTCCATGTGGCAATGCGCGATAGATTGACATGACGGAATGTCGCGGTTTCCACATGACCGCGGAAGAAAAAGTCCAATGGGAACACAGCTATAGTGCATCAGACTTGTACATCTGCTGCAGTATGCCGCATCTGGCAGGGTTAGGGTCAAGGTCAATGTTTGCAAAGTGATACATGCAGTTTTCACCATTGCTTAAAACTCCTCTTCTAAAGATTGCAGACTGCTGGCCCTCTTTGATTCCACCATCTGACCGACCGTCTTGAAATTGGACCTTCATCAATGTTCCAAGAGCAGATATGACAAAAATTGGGAGGCTTGATCTGTGAAATAAAAATAATCGTAAAATTATTTAAATAATTCACCCATTTATAATAAAAAAATTTCTTTTTACAAGACAAATACATGTAGTCATTTTCATGTTTTTTTTAAGGAGCTGCAAGAAAACTGTTCAAAGGTTCAAAATTGTGGCTTTCATCAGTAAATTTTGGGGGAAATTACAACCCAAGACAGGTTTA